CACACACACACATACACACACACACACATACATACACACACACACACACACACACACACACACAAGTGCACTCGCTGGCTTAATATAAAACATGCACAAAAGACACGAGCTCGTATCCGGCTTAATAAACACACAAAGAAACAATCAGAGCACAGGAAAACACGTCATGCGATACGCCAGATTGTCACAAAGACAATTAGTAGCTTACACAAAGACGTGTTACAAGTACATGTGTACTTGTTAAACAAAACTATTTGTCTTTACAATAGGTCTACACTAATCCTCCGCTTTGGATGGCTAGTCGCCGAAGACCTTCCTCCTAGCTTGTCCCTCATCTGACCCAAATCCCCGTACTTTTTAAAATCACAATGAAACCCGTTGAGTATCGTATAACGTTGGGGGTTTTTTTGGTTGATGTTGTTTTTTTTTTGTTAAATTTTTTTGTGTGTGTGTGTGGTTGGTTTTTGCTTGTTTGCTGGTTGTTTATTTTTTGGAAAATTTTCAAAACGCAGAAAAAAAACAACAGAAAACAACAAACAGAACAAAACAAAAATCCCCCAAACCTTCTGATTTAAACAATGAGTACGAGCTAATCATGCTACTACAAACACAAGTACCGCAACCAGCCAGGCGTGGCCCTCTAACTCTTAGTAAGTTTTGCTGACTGCGGTGTCGGGTGTATATTGTAATGCTCAGAAATCTAGTCTGCGCTGAATTTTAATGTTGAGAGAACACGCAACGTAACACTAAGTCCACAGTAAATGTTCTTTCAAACATGCAGCCTTCTGATTACAACGCACGATGCGTGCTGACTTCTTCATATTTCATGACATATATTGAGGACCAGCAGACAGACCTCGCCAACGATTAATTTAGCAGAACAAGAAGGAGACGTCCAATTTCTTCCAGACACGTTAGTAGAGCTAAACACCATTACAGTAAAGCTTGAGGCATGCACGCTGAGGGTAATTTGAACACATTTAAGAGCGAAGGTACTTCGAAAGGGATTATATTATCGAATGGCAGTAGGCCAGTTTGCACAAAACAAACCAAGATGTAGTCACGAAAAACAAGAAACTGCCCATAAACGGCTTGGCAAGCAATTCAGATCCATGAAAAAACAGAAATTGTCAAATTTGGTAAACAGCTACCAGGCCTGACGAGAGGGG